CCCCCACACACACACACACACACGGGCAGAGGGAACGGCCCCTCGACATGGGGACCAGACTGCCCACCAGTGACACCTCCTTGGGCCTCTGCTCTGGGTCAGGCTCCCCAGCCCAGCTCAGCAGGGACCCCGCTGCCCTCAGAGCAGGAGGGGGTCCAGATGCTCAGAGCTCAGCCCCTGGGGACCTGGTGGGGAGCAGAGAGCGCCTGTGGACTGAAGGGTCCCGGGTTCGATTCCGGCCAAGGGCATGTACCTGGGTTGCGGGCACATCCCCAGTAGGAGGTGTGCAGGAGGCGGCTGATTGATGTTTCTCTCTCATCGATGTTTCTAACTCTCTATCCCTCTCCCTTCCTCTCTGTAAAATATCAATAATATATTTTAAAATGGGGGTGGGGAGCCCTTCCAGGAAGAAAGCCCGGAGGCTCCTCCAGGCCGTGAGGGAGGGGGAGAAGAGGGACCAGACGCACACCGCAGCCCCCACCCCGCCCCAGAGACACGCAGCCGCGGTGCAGGTGGACCAGGTTTATTGTTAGCTCCGCGGGGGTGAATGGGGGCTGCAGGCAGCCGCAGCCCCGCCGGGCCCAGAGCTGCAGCCAGCGGGCTCTGCGGGCGGAGCGGAGGGAGGCTAGAGGCTCTGCTCTGGAAGAGAGAGGCGCAGGGGGAGACACAGGGGGAGACACGAGGGGGAGGCAGGGTCAGGTCGGCCCTGGGGTTGGGGGGGCTCCCCACTCCCCAGGGCACCAGCTGGTTTCCTGTCCAGGTGTCTGGCCAGGGCACAGGGCGCATCCTCAGGCAGTGGGGCCACGGAGTCGGGTGGGGGTGCTGGGGCCTGGGAACTGGTGGCTTTGAGCAGGCCCCGCCCCTCATCCTGAAGTCTTGTGGAGGGGAACTGGGGTGAGCGCGCCTAGAACCCCCCCTCCTCACTGGGAGCCTCCTCTGGAGGGTGAGGGAGCTGATCGGGGTCCCAGAGCCCAGCTGGGCCCGGTGCACCGTGGGGGCCTAACCAGTGGATGAGCCGGGGACTGAGAGTGAGGCCAGGATGGGAGGGAGGAGGGGAGGGCTTAGAGGATGGGGGGGTGGAGGTAGGGGTGGAGTGAGGGGGCAGAGAAGCAGAGCAGGGGTGCAGCCTCCAGACCCCGGGGCAGAACAGCCATGGCTTTAAGGAGGGTGGGGCTGGGCGGCCCAGGGCACCCTGGGGGCATGGCTCACCTGAGCAGGTGCGCCTGTTCTGGTGGAGCACGTAGCCCGCCCGGCAGGAGCAGTAGAAGCCGCCCAGGTGGTTGTGGCAGTGGTGGTCGCAGGGGGGGGCAGCTCCGG